CTGGTGGCCCCTCCTCTCTACCCTACTCTGCTGCTCAGGGGAAGCCCCAGCCCCCCCTCCCACCCCCAGGCCTGTGCTCCTGCCAGAGTCCCTGTGCTCTTCACTCCTTCTGGGCTTGTGTTACTGAGCAGTTGCCATGGATACTGGTCTCAGCTTCCCTGGCAGAAAAGGACTCCCCCAGGGCAAAGCTCTGCTTCTGCTCACCAGCCCCCATGCTGCCCAATTCCAGGTACCCAAGCTGAATCAAAGGAATAGAAAATAGGTCTCCGGAAGGGAACAGGTGCCCCAGAGAAGTTCTCAATTAGTCATTCACCAGCTGGGCCTAGATCCAGGAGCACGATGCTGTCACCTTACCCCTCCACTCTGCTCCCATTCTACAGATGGAAGCATGGGAGTGGGGCAGGGGAATGGCAGGAGTGCCTCTGCACCAGGACACAGGACACAGGACTCAGGACTGTGAAGGGGCTGTGGCCTCACCTGACAGGCATCATCCCTCTTTGGATCTGCAGCCACAGGTGGGCTTTGAAAACAGGGTAGTAGCTTTTCTCCTAATGGGAGACCTGTGCCACATGCCCTAGGGAAGATCAAAGGGTCTCAGCTGAATAGAGCTGAAATTCATCTGCCCAGGCAGACTCCTGGCCTGACTGGATCCTAGCAGGATCCTGGAGCTTCTAGGCTGAAAGCATGTGGTATGTCATGTCTACCTGTACCCATCTCCAACCAAAGCTCCCAGAGCTGAGAAGCCTGCTGCCCCGGTATGGGCCATGTGACCTTGAATAAGGGTCTTTGTTCTCTAGATGGCAGCGGCCTCATGGCACAAGGAGGTGGGGGAAAGGGTTTAGACAAGGTTTGTGAGCTACCTCAATTTCATCCAACTGAAGCAACATCCAAGAAGAAATGAGAAGGGGAGCTGGGCCCTCCTCCCCAGGTCTGAGGATGGCTGCCCTCAGGGGGTTCTCATGAAGAGGAGGAGAGGCCCTAATTAACTGGATCACCTGGTAGCAGGTGATGCTGGGAGTAAATGCTAGGGCTGAAGCAGGAGTCAGTGGAGTTCCTTGGTGTGGAAGGGAGGAGCTCACCAAGGAGTCAAGGGGCATTCTGAAAGATGCTCTGAATGAGACTGTCATAAGCAATCAAGAAGAGCCAGGGATGAGATGTAGCTCAGTGGCAAAGTGCTTCCTAGCAATGTCCTGGACTCAATAGAAAGAAAGAAAGAAAGAAAGAAAGAAAGAAAGAAAGAAAGAAAGAAAGAAAGAAAGAAAGAAAGAAAGAAAGAAAGAAAGAAAGAAAGAAAGAAAGAAAGAAAGAAAGAAAGAAAGAAAGAAAGAGAAAAAGAGAGATAGGAAAGAAAGGAAGAAAGAGAGAAAGAGAGATAGGAAAGAAAGGAAGAAAGAAAAGAAAGAAAGAAAGGAAGGAAGGAAGGAAAGAAGGAAGGAAGGAAAGGAAGGAAGGAAGGAAGGAAGGAAGGAAGGAAGGAAGGAAGGAAGGAAGGAAGGAAGGAAGGAAGGAAGGAAGGAAAGAAAGAAAGAAAGAAAGAAGAAAGAGAAGGAAGAGGAGGAGGAGGAGGAGGAGGACAATGACCACAATGATGGATGATGAAGAGGAGAAGCCTTCTGGACAGGAGCACAATTTGAACCTCTGATAAAAGGAAAACAGCTAACATTCATTGAGCTCCCTCCGGCATCATGGATGCCTTCATGTCCCAGGGTTTGGACACATCCTCATTCAATCCAAAGCACGCAGAGGTGGAGGGGGCATCATCCCACACAAAGCACACACATCAAATAAGCAAAACTCCTGACTCTGGCTCCTAGCCACAGACTGGACCTTTCCTATCGCTCCAGTGACCCCAGCCATGATGACTGACATGTGCTGCCACAGTGAATCATACACCAATTTCAAAGACTGCTTGAAAAAGAATGCAAAATACCTAAAAAAAATACATTTTATACCAAGTACATGTTCAAATACATTGGACAGATTGAGCTAAATATATCATTAATGACTTACACATTTTTTTAGTTTTTTTTTAATCTGGCTATCAGAACATTTTTAAATGAATGTAGCTTGTATTATATTCCCTTTGAACAGAGAGTTGATCTGTATGAAAAACTGAAATGTAGAGGATGGATATAAAGTAGGCACTCTCCCATCATTTCATATAAGCACCAGGGCCAGACTGTGAGTTTCTCAGAGGCCAGGTAGGCATAAACATCAAGAGGGTCAGTGCTGGTGCCAGTGGTTCATGCCTATAGTCCTAGCCTGAGGTCTGAGGATTCAGGTTCAAAGCCAGCTCAGGCAGGAAAGACCATGAGACTCTTATCTCCAAAAATTCAAAAATGGAGCTGTGGGGGCTGGGAAGGTGGCTCAGTGGTAGAGCGCTTGCCTTGCATGCCTGAGGCCCTGGGTTCGATTCCTCAGCACCACATAAGCAAAAAGAAAAAAGCCGGAAGTGGCGCTGTGGCTCAAGTGGTAGAGCGCTAGCCTTGAGCTGAAGAGCTGAGGGACAGCGCCCAGGCCCAAAGTTCAGGCCCCACGACCGGACCAAAAAAAAAAAAAAAAAATGGAGCTGTGGCTCAAGTGGTAGAACACTAGCCTTGGGCAAAAAGGATAAGGGACAGCAATCAGGCCCTGAGTTCAAGCCCTACTACTGGCATGAACGCATGCACACACACACACACACACACACACACACACACACACACACAGAGGTGTGTGGGAAATTGAGTGTCTGCTTTCCCACCTCTGTCCCAGCTAGGCCAATAGGCAACAGATGGACTCAGTTCCTGACATAAAACATATCAAATCATAGCAGTTACCACAGAGATAGTAAATATTCCCAAAAGCTTAAGTTGGGGATAAGTGGAGGCGAAGTGGGATGGGGAATCTATCATAAAGAGAGGGAGCCAGGCCTATCTGGAGAGGAAATTCAGTGCATGCTGTGCTGGGTGGAGCATAAGCCTGACCCTGGGCAGGACAGGGAGTGATGTACAGCGCAGGCAGTGTTTGCCCAGGACTTTCCGGGCCTTCCTCCCTACTGCTCCCCACCCACCCCCAATTCACCAGAAATGTGCTATCTTACCTCCCATTCTGACAGTCTGACCAAGTAAAGGGACAGATAAGCAGCTGACCTCCCCAGTCCCACCTCTCCCCACTGCCCCTGGCCATCAGTTCCCCTAAGAGCCTCAGAGGCAGTAGTCTGGTGCTGGAAAAAACAAGCTGGAAAGTGTGACTGCAGCAGAAGCAGCACAATCACTCGGGAGCAGGGTGGGTGAGGAGGCCTCCTCCCAGACGGAGACTTACGATGGATCTAATACCAACTCTGATGGCCACCTTCTGGGCCACCCATGGTCACAGAATCCTAGTGTGCACTGCTCTAGGTTCCTTGTACTCTCTGACTGTTCCACACAGGGTAGCACTTACGCTCCCAGGTCCCATCAACACAGTACCTGCATGTCAGGGGTTGATGCACCTGGGGGAATACAACACTCCTGCTCTCCAGAGCAATGAAAGAATCTCTTGAAGAGAGCCTTGCCCAGATACTGAATCACCAGTACTGATTCCCAACCTACCCCACTGGTGGAAGGGAAGGAGAGCCAAGGGGCTTTGCAAGCAAGAACTAAAAGGCATTGGCCTCTCATCAGAGTTTTTCCCTGGCACTTGACACAAAACTCCATGAAATAGGATAACTGAGGCTCACAGATAGTCTATGTCAGAGTTCTTTCCCAATCACCCCCAAAGTTCTCTTGCTGTTTAGAGTCTATTCAAAATCCTGTTCTCATTCATTCTCATTCTCCATCAGTCTCTCTGTCTTTGTCTCTTTCTCTATTTCTATCTCTCCTGTCTGTCCCTCCTTGACTCCTTCTTTTCTCTCCCCCACCCTCTATTCCTCCCACCCTTTCTGGTGGTACGTTCTAGGACAGCATGGCAGGTATCCAGAGCTGCTCTCTCCACAGGAAGCTCCCACTGATGCCAGCCTGGCTAGATTCCTTTCCTCCCAAGGCTGCATCATTCCCAACCAGGGGCAGCTCCATCCGGGACACATTCTTACCTAGTGAGCCCTGAGAAGTCAGAGAGGAAGGGGTGGTAGAATAGAATTCCAGAACTGTATCAACCCCAAAAGGCGGAGTTATCCATCAACTCACAAATAGAGAAGGAGATGTAAACAAGCTGAGACCAGCCCAAGGTCACACCCGGAGCACATGCGGACAAATCTGGGACTAGAACCCGGTTATTTTACAGTCCTCCATCCCATTCCTACAATTGACTTCCAGAGATGCTCACCAGAGAATGAGGCTGCCCCCTCTTTAGCCCCGGAGGCCTGTGCCCTGTCCCGGCCCCAAGGTCTATAGATCAGGGGGAGGCGTCTTCAGGCCTCTAGCCAGGGCCAGCTGCAAACCGCATCCTGGGTCCCCAGGCGCCGCGCGGACCCGCCCGCCCCTCCCTCGGCTCCCCGCAGGCCCGGGCCTTTGTCAGCCACGCGCTCTTGAGCTCGCACACACACCCGCCGCCACGCGCACACTCGATCTCCCGGTGTCCCCGGCGCACACCCGCAAGGGGCGCACACACTCGCCGCACGCACGCAAGGGAAGGGGGGGTGAGGAAGGAAGGAAGGAACTGATGGGCCATGGACGCTCAGACGGCCTGGGCTTGGGGGGCGGGGGGGGGGGGAGGAGAGGCCCGGGAACCGGGGTACGGCGGGAGGGGCGCAGAGGCGAGGACGCAGACACGCAGCGGAGATCCGAGAAGAGGACGGCGGAGGGGCGCTCCTGGGCTGGCGAGGTCGCGCTCGCCGCTCCAGGGACTGGGACTCCGCAAACCTCTGGTCAGGGGAGGGGAGGTCTCTGGGCTGGACCCCTGAACACTAGGGCCCCGCTGGCCCCGCGCAGCGGCTCCCGCGGGACGCTGCACAGGGCTTGGAATAGGGGATCTGAGCCCTAGCTCCCTCGAGCACCCGAGGGCGGGACGGCCCTGGCCCGGGGGGGGGGGGGGTCGCTCACCTGCCACGGTGTACCTGTCCAAGTAATTGAGCACGTTGCCCAAGCTGAGGATGGCGGCGGCTGCCCCCCGCCCTCGGCCCAGGCTGGCCGGCTTGGGCTGCGGCGTGCCGGGGCCCTTCGCCGCTGCGGCGCAGCCAGGGGTGCCGGGGCTGCCAGGGGGCCCGGACGGGACCCGCCGCACGCGGCCCGACAGCGTCTGCACCTCATCGTCTGCGGCCAGGACTCCAGAGCCACTCGCGCCCCGCGTCCCGCAGCAGCCGCTGCCGCCAGCCCCGCGCGGCGCCCCCCGGCGCTGGCGCCGCCGCTCCGCGTCCGCCTCCTCCTCCTCCGCGCCGCCCGCCGCCGCCGAGGTGCATTCCAGGCACCTCATGCCGGCCGGGGTCGGGGCGGCGGGGGGCGCGGGGGGCGCGGGGCCCAGCCTGGGCCCGCTCAGTGCGTGTGTGCGTGGCCCGGCCGCCGCCGCGGCACCATGCCGGCCGGGTCCCGTCCGCTTCTGCGCTCGGCTACGGCCCCGGCTGCGGCGCTGCCACTGCTCAGCCAGACGCGCTGCCGTCGCCGCGGTGGCTCTGACAGCTGCGGCCCGGCCACGCCCACCAGACCCACGGCCAATCAGCTTCGGGCTCAGGCCACGGCTCCGCCCCGCACGTGCTGCCCCAGGGGTAGCGGAGCCGGGCCTCCGAGCCCCACCCGCCAGACGGGGGCGTCGGCACGCCGGAGAGGTGAGCCCGCCGAGGCCCGGAGAGGCTTTCAGAGAGCCACTGGGCCTGGGAGCGGGGTGCAGGAAGCAGAACGCCCTGGTACCCACTGGGCACCCTCTGCCCAGTCCTTACAGTAAGAATGGACTCCTGGGAGAAGGTCAGAGCAAGCTGAGGCTTGAGCCTACATATTTGGGCTTAGATGCTCAAAACAGAGGCACCTGTTGGATAGCCTGAGTCCAACATTTACGCACACATCTGGCTTCGATCACCTCAGGGGTTTGATTGGTCCAGGCCTCAGATCTCTGCCCGGCATGGATGGCTATAGCTTCCCACCTCTCCAGGGAAAGTTCTGGGCCCCACCAACCTATCCTTTGTCCGCTCGTGTGTACACACACCTCAACCCTACCTTGTCCCACAGAGTGGCAGCCTCTGGCACTGAGACCCAGTATGCCAACTAACACCCATCAAAAACAGGACATTAAGACTCCTCTCTTGAGAGTACACACCTCCCCATGCTTCAGTTTCCAGCTCGATGCTGGCATACAAAGCCTTTAGTGGCTGTCGAACACACACACACTTGTTCCTAACCCAGCTTTATTCGCCATGTGGCTTTAGCTTGGGTAAGACCACCTACTCTCTGAGTCATATCTTTCTATCTGGGGTAGACAGGAAGATGGGAACCAGACGATCTGAAAGTCTGTGAGTGGGGATAGGGAGGAATACTTCTACCCTGTACAGTGTTTGGGTAGCTTCTATGTCCAGGACCACATCACTGCTTAGAAGTGCTGAGGCTCTTTGAAGCTCACCCAAGCACTCCCCCATTCATCTTTTTGGAGCTTTGATTAACATCAAAATCCCATACAAAGTCCAGAGAAAAGATCATTACAACTGGACAGATTCTCAGAAATTGTATGACTTCTCTGTTTCACGGGCACGTTCCAAGTCAGAGAGATGACCCCATCACAATCCTACATCTAGTCCATGGCAAGGTTGGAGCTCACCCAGGACTCTGATATCCTCCTCCAAAGCTGGGAACTCGTGTACCACTGCAGGCTGTTCCGAGTTCCTGTCCACAGGCAGGTGCATCTTGTGAAGGTGTCGGCGACAGTGAGTCATGGCATTGCCAACAGATGATGCAGCATAAGGCACCGCCCCCCCCCCCTCACGCACTGTCTCTTATGAGCAAAGTTAATCCCCAAGCTGGTGTTTCTTGGCGCCTTCGAGGTGTATTTTAAATTCTGTGAAGCGACTAAAAATATGCTTCAGTGTGTTGAGTATGAATGATTGTGACGGGAGGGTTAGGAAAACATCTCATTCTGAAACTTGCCCGCTGCCTCTTTCCAGCTTGCTGAACTCAGGCCTGCAAAGTCAAGCAGGTAAAGTTCCACTTGGTAGCCTGGGGTGACAGATGACTAGCAGGTAAGAACTAGAACTGAGCTCTAGAAATGATCTGCAATGCTGTGTCATGGTGCCAGCTAGACGATAGTGTCTGTCTGGGATACTACCCAGCTGTGGAGCTGCAAAAGCTCTGAGCCCCAGGCTCATCCCCTCCACCCTAGATTCCTCATCCTTTCACAGCCTTGTCCAGGGGAACAATTTTAGCCCTCTATGCAAAAGAGGAGCCTCCCTTACCATGACCTTGCTTTCTACCACTGGGTAGGTCTAAAGCAAGGAATGAAGGCAGATTTTTTTTTAATTGATACTGGATTTAAACTCAAAGCCTCACACTCTCACTTGGCTTTTTTATTCAAGGCTGGCACTCTACCACTTGAGCCACACCTCAACTTCTGACTTTTTTTGCTATTTAAATGAAGATAAGAGTCTCATGGAGCTGGGCAATGGTGGCTCACGCCTGTAATCCTAGCTACTTAAAAGGCTAAGATCTGAGGATCAGGGTTCAAAGCCAGCCCAAGCAGAAAAGTCCCCATGAGACTGTTATCTCCAATTAACCACACACACAAAAAAAAAAAAAACAAAAGTGGAGCTGTGGCTCAAACTGGTGGAGCACTAGTCTTGAGCAAAAGAACTCAAGGATAGCACCCAGGTCCTGAGTTTAAGCCCCACAACTAACCAAAAAAGTCTCATGGGCTTTTCTACCTGGGCTGGATTTAAACCAGAATCCTCAGATCCCAGTCTCCTAAGTAGATAACATTATAAGCATGAGCCACTGGTACCGAACTATTGGCAGATTTTTTGAGGCTTTCAAATTTAGGGGACTTCTGCCACTAAGCAAGCCAGCCATTTCTGTTGTGTGAATATGAACTCAGAGGTAGTCTCTAGAGTTGGTCTTGTATGGGTTAAAGGATGATATGGAAAGTTGGTACAAGCCCTTTCTGGCTGTGTGTTCCTGGCAAATCAGGGTTTTCTGAGGACCAATGGCAGCACTATGGGACCATGAGCCATAGCACTTACAGGGTCAGTACTTCCATCTCACTGATGAAGAACCTGTGTAGCACAGGGAAAAGAAATAATTTTCCTGTGGTCACATATGCAGTAAATGGTGGAGGAGCTAAGACTATACCCAGATGTGCCTACCTCCTGATCGAATGCTTCGTCAACTACGCTGCAGTGCCACTTGGCTTCTGCAAGACAGTTTCCTCATCAGCATAATGGTATGTTAGATGGCTACAGGGCTTTCTGACATTCACTCATCAGTTCCAGGAGCTGATAACTTCAAGACAATTAAGGCACAAAACATTAATGGCCATTACTCAAAAGGCAAATGCATTTGGGAAATGGTGGGCTAAAAACAGAGAATGGGATTCCTTACTGAAGAATTTCCTAAAGCCTTCACAGTGAGAATGTATGCTGGGAGTGTCCCAGAGATTGAGGCTGCCATGTTTCTGTATGTACTTGACCACAGAACATCTTGTAAGAATTGAGCTCTGCAGAATGCAGTCTGAGAAATGGTCCAGGATACCTGGGGACCATTTGAGACACCTTCTCACTCAGCCCCACATCTTGATTCTGTTTTTGCCTCCAGTACCTCCATCATCTCCCACTGACACATCTCTGGCCTCTCTGTGGCTCACATAGATCCTTGCAAAGCTCTGCCCCATCTGCTTCCTCCTCTGGGCTTTCCTCCATAGTGCTTGTACACAACAAACCTTTCCACAGGCCCCCATTGCCTAGAAGGGTCCAGATATTTACATTCCTTGCCAGGCTCTGGTGGCTCACGCCCCAATTCCTAGCTACTCAAGAGACTGAGATGTGAGGATCACTGTTCAAAGCCAGTAGGAACATCTATGAGGCTCTTATCTCCAATTAACTACTTAGAAAATGCAAGGAGTGAAACTGTGGCAAAGGAAGGAAAAAAGCTCAGAGACAGTGTACAAGCCCTGAATTCAAGCCCCAGGACTGGCATACGTGTGCACATTCCTTAATGGGGGCTCTGTGACCTCACAGTATTTCCTGATCCATGTGGTCCAGCCTCTGAACCTACTCTCCATCTATCAAAAGCACTCTCTACCTCACTAAACTCAGGGCTGCCTGGACTCATTCATTCTATGTTCTGGAGCCTGGGCAAGTAGCAAGAATTGGGTCGTGTATTTATGGTCCCTACCCTCTGATGGTTCAGGACCACGGACAGCGTTCCATGTGCAACCCCCTTTGACCCTTCAGTTACAGCCTGACTAGCTCACTCCTGAAACTGATTCTTCAGAAACCCACCACAGGGCTGGGAATATAGCTTAGCGATAGAGTGCTTACCTAGCATGCACGAAGCCCTGGGTTCAATTCCTCAGCACCATATAAATAGAAAAGGCCAGAAAGTGGTACTGTGGCTCAAGTGGCAGAATGCTAGCCTTGAGCAAAAGAAGCTCAAGGACAGTGCCCAGGCCCTGAGTTCAAGCATCAGAACTGACAAAAAAAGAAAAGAAAGAAAGAAAGAAAGAAAGAAAGAAAGAAAGAAAGAAAGAAAGAAAGAAAGAAAGAAAGAAAGAAAGAAAGAAAGAAGGAAGGAAGGAAGGAAGGAAGGAAGGAAGGAAGGAAGGATGGAAGGAAGGAAGGAAGGAAGGAAGGAGAGAGACAGAGAGACGGGTGGGGGGAGAGAGAGACCCAGACAGATAGCCCTTTCTTCTGGAAGCCTTCCCTGACCCACATGAACAAGTCACTTTCTTCTCCAGAGTACTGAAAAAATCTGTGCATCCCTCTATCACACCAAACTCATTATCCTGATTATATTTGTCAGAAGAGTCCATCACTGACTAGCCCCTCCACAAACCATGAGCCTCTGGGGTTGATTCATCTTCATGATTGAGAACAGGCGTGATGCTTAGAGAATGTTTGTTGACTGAATGAGTAAATGACATTTAGCAGACATTTGACAGGAAATATGTGTTGGTTTATGACATGTATCTGTTGCTCTGAGTAACTCAGAAACCAGCCAGATTCCTCTCCTGGCCACTTCAAAATTTTTTTTTCTCCTCGATGGACTCTACTCTCCATTAGCTGCCACTTTTTGATTAGCCTTCTCTTCAGGTCACCACCCGGGGTGGGGAGAAGTCATCCCTTTTCTGCTCCTGTGGTAACAGAGCTGAGGACTCCCTGGAGCCCCCACCCCCATGCCAGCCTGGGCTGCCTCATGAGTTCTGCTCTGCCTCTCTCTCAATCAGAACAGATGGTTCTGAGGCCCCACAAACATGAGGTTCTGTTCTATCATTTGAACATTTTAAACACTTTCTAAATT